AATTGTGGTTGTAAACTTTCCTAATTTCACAGAGGTCTATTGATTTTAATCAATAGATATTAGATGATTTCATTATCAGAAATAGTATAATCATCGACTAAATAATAAGTGTTGCGTCTAAAAAAATCATTATTAAATTCTTTTTTATCAAAGACGAACGAGGGAAAAAAACAAGAACGTCAAGCACGAGTACAACATTGTCGATGTTTTTGTAACATCTCCGAGGTTTCCTGCATCAAGTAAAAAACAGACTTTACATCAACCTGCCGCCTTTTTTCTTTAGACACGTTAATTGAAACGTTGTTCGATCACACGTACGATCGAGAAAAAAGCACACATTCACATACGTTCGTAATCGAGAGCTCTTGAAAGGAAAATCGCCAAAGAAAATTGATTTATTCGATCGACCTATGAAAAAGCCTTATTCGCAATCAATTTTCTACTATATTAATACAATCTTGACAGATATGATTCAAAATAAATAGAAAATGATGTAAGAGACATAGAAAATTTCCACTGGAAAAGTCGGAAAAAAGATCATTAAATCTCCAGAGCTGCTAATAACTTTGCCACCACGATTAACATAAAATTATTCATATTACACTCGTATGTTGTACACGGTAATTGATCAGCATCATAAATTCATTAGAACAGAATAACCGAAATAAAAAAGTAATTAAATAAAATTCTAAGCAGCATCGGTTTCATATTGATTTTGCAAGATTTGTAATGGAAAGCTTGAAGCACTCGCCATTTCCCCTCGGATATTCCTGAGGGAAACGACAATGTAGCAAGGGGGCCCTATCACGTGCGTGTAAACGTTTACGCGGGAAAATTTCATAATATTTAACAACGAAAAATGATATGCATCAAATAAAAATTAAAAATTTTTAATTATTTATTTCCCTATATCGCCATTTTCCCCAGAGAAGTCTGATTTGATATGCTGAATAACTATAATTATTCATTCTGTTTAATCTTGTAAACTAGTAATACTGATCATTGATAAACTCTAAAACAATGAACCGTTTAACTAACAAATTTTCTTCAACGTATTTTCTTCACGTAGTTAGAATGAACCAAGAAACTAAAACACCGATACGGTCAATTATTTACGATTGATCAAGTATCTGGTTTACAATCGACACCTCGATCTTGATCAGTGGCTATTGGCCGCAATCTTGACAATGTTGCGTTTAATTATCGTTGTTAACAGTTAACGATCGTGTTAGACCGCCATTAACGCCTTGACTAATTATCATTTTGTGCCGGTAGAAAAATGATTAAGCTTCCTTAACGAACAGAATCTATTCCACGATATCATTCGTCACGCAAACCTCGATGTTTTTGCTATCGAATCGAATCGCTAGCGAACTAGACGCGGTATAATTAAACCTCAACTTCTCTCAGATATTTGATACAATTTTTTTTCTTTGCAACTTACGCGTAGTGATACATAATATAACTTCTGATATAAACTAAAAGGGATAAAAAGGAGAGAAAGAAATTAATGAATTATTATTAACTGCCTTAACGATTACTTCTGACTGATACTGAAATCTTTAGTTTTTTGATTTGCAATGAAATAAGTGAACGAACTTTTAAATCTTAAAAGTATATTATTGTGTAAATCAATCTGTTTATCAAAATTCTTGTTGCTCTGAAAGTTGAATGAAAATACTTGAAAAAATGATCGAATTATGAATGGAGTTTTTCGAATGATTTCCTAACGGCTTAAAAACTAAAACCGTAAATTAACAGCTCGAGTGCCGATTGAAATTCAAGGCTCATAAATCAAAAGAACTAATACGATAGTAGCACGGAAAATAAGTTGAATAAATCTTGCAATTCATTACGATACAATATAATGTAATTAAAGCGAATAAGTGTTCAAGGTGTTAACACCTGTGTCGAAGCTCGCACGGTGTCCAAAGCGTTGATAAAAAGGAAATAATCGCGCTAGATCAGCCGCATATCCCATTCTCCCGTTTCCAATCAATTTCCACGATTCTCAGTACACCGTTATACCGTTGTATCGGCAAAAAAGCGAGAAAAAATACACGGTCCGCTTTCTAGCTGGCCGCGTTTCGAAAACCGTTCTGTCTAGCCTCGTATGCACAACTCCGATCCAAGAGAAAGAGAAAGAGGATCGTTTTTTATCAACAAATCATTTTCACAGGTTGACACGGCGGATTATCTTCTTGTCGGTCGAACCAGTTCCGACGTTTTTCCTAAACCAGATCATAAAAAAAAGAAAAAAAAAATTTATCCAGGCGAATAGACGAAGCGATTAATTAGAAACGAGCCCGCGAATCAACGACACTAAAGATCGAACCAGCTGAGCCGTGAACAATATAATGCTCGCAACTTCTTTTCAACGAGCTTCTTTTGCCAACTTGTTCGAAGTATCGTTCGGCTGAAAATCGAATGGAAGGAATTCGCGAGAGCAAGATGGTTCGATAATTGATAGACCGTCCAGAGACTCTTTTTCTTTCGAGATTCCATTGTTTTGTGGTTTCGTAACGGAGCCCGCCGTTGCACCGTTCTTTATCCACTGATTGTGAGCTATTTTGTTTGCGGGTAAAAGGTATACCCTGTACAAAAATAATTAATAAAATGATCCGTGTTAAATGAAGAAACGAAGGAACATTTTTTATTATTAACCGTTTAAGTTGCGAATTTCATAAATCAACGACGGATTTAAAACGCCTCTTGTTAGTAATATTGTTCGTTGGTGAAGAAATCGAAGCTCGTTTCTCATGATCTTTTCGAAAATTCCACGGGTCGTTCAACTCCGTTTCTTTGATCGGTGTGTCGCACGCCGGAAAAAACGCATCGGCGACTCGCGTCCACTCTTTTTACCGTTCGCGAATTATCGTGACAGCCGAGACAATAATGGCATTATACGTCTTCGAAGACGAAGATTAATATCGAGATTATCACCACGGCACCGTTCAATCTGATACTCTGAATGTTAATCACCGGACGTTCATCGCGTTCAACCGCTAGTTCCGCGTGTTATTTGCATCATTCCGTGCCAATGAACGATCGCGTTTCTTCTAATTAATGCGCGATACGTATGCGACTGAAATCCTATTCGATGATACACCGATATATTGTTTGACGAAAAAGGAATATTAGCCCTGTTTCATTAATTTTTCAATTTCCATTCGCAATGGTATCAGTGAAAATGTCGCTGGATTCGAATACAGATAAATAATAAGCTGCTCAGTCGAGGAATTCAATAAATTCCACCAGACAAGCTATTTTCAAAGCTCTAAATGATTCAGTTAGATGATTCTAATGATAAGAAATATCCTAGAGGAGGATTCTAACAATAACGCAAAAAGTATCCTAGTAATCTTTACAATTTTAAACAATAATTTACTACGCTCCAAGATATTAATATAGGATAAAAATTAAATAATTTATATTCTAAAAGAACCTATTAAATTAAGATTAACTCTGTTAATAATATTTTATAATATTAAATTTGTGGTGCAAGACACCGATGATCTATGCTATCCAATTTTTAATATAATTTTATTTTCACGATTGATCTAGGCTCCGCTATTCTACGGATTAATATAAAAGAATCCAGAAAAAACCACTCGAGAAAATGAAAAATACCGATCGATTATTGCAAAAGACTTTCCCATTTTTCTTTCTTTCCATAAAAATGTACCAGGTTGCCCTTCGTTTATCTACAATTATCTAAGCGCTTTGGTATGAGAATTTTCTACTGAGAATCCAAGTTATGTTTTCGAATAACCAGAAAAATGAAACACGGATACCACGGTGATTCGCAATATGTATGGCCTCTTAACAAATCGGGATACTTTCTGTTTATGAGCAAAGTGCTCGAACAAGGTGGCGAAAACAGAAATACGGAACGCGTGTGTTTTCGAATATTGTAAAGGTGAAATAAGGTGAACAAACAAAACGAGCTGTTGGACTACGAGCTAACTTGTTTTTCTGAGGCATAGACGAATCGTACAAAAATAATATTCAGTATATCGAATGATTTTTAGGGAAAATTGCAGATTTTAGAGAATCTAGAGTATCTTAATTAATAGAATCTTAATAATTCATATTTCTTTTTTCCAAATTAACGAAGCTATGGTATTTATTATATAAAAAAATATAATTAATCATATGTAGATAAACATTGAGTTATCTTTCGTTAAATCTACGTGTAAACCTTTTAATTCCATAATTAAGTAATAACAGGAATTTGCAAAAGCGCGGATATACACGGAGCTTCTTCGGGCCGCTAAAAACCCAGGCTCCAAAAGTGTTGCCGGTAAAAACGGATCACACGAGTTAACCCGTGGAACAAGAAAGCCGGAAAAAAGTAGCATTTCATTCAGAGACCTACTATTACGTGATAAGCACCAATTATTTGCAATTTTGCTTTCTTGCCACCGGTTTTCTCGTCTGCGAATAGTCAACCCTTCGAGTATTCAATTGAAAAATTATATAACTAATCGTTCAAGATACCCGATCAAATTGCTGTTCAACCATGATTGCAACTCTAATATTGAAAATTTCAATTATTCTATACTATAAAATGAAGCTATACTTTTAGAATTATTGCAGAATTGTTTAAATCCGAATCTTATTTTTTAAAGAACCAATTGAATAACTTAAACTGTCTTCTGCAAATTTAATTACACACTTCTCGAAGAGAAATTAGATGGCACCGATAATAAAAGAAAAATGGACATAAAACTATTGCCATTTGATAAGTCTAAATTGATATGAACTATATTTATAAATAACAGCATCAAATTCTTTCAAACTTTCTCTAATCACATATTATTATCTCTTGCTTCTCTTTTTCCAGTAATTTAATTATAATACTTAAAATTTTAAGCTTAGGTCACCGATGTCCATCATGGTAGTCAACATGTTAAATAAATTTTCTGACGCCATGCTCGAAAGATCGACAGAACGGAGCGAAATAAAACAATAAAAAGATGTAAAAAATCATCACTTACCTTACTCTGCACATAGTCGAGGGCCAGCATGCAATCCGAATATCCGCTCTCGGTTTTGATGGTGGTACCACCTTGTCCTGGGCCGGTGGAGCAGAAACCGGAACCAACGACGCCGACGGGTCCTCCTAGGCCTGCCGCCGCCGCCGCCGCGACGCTGTCCCGGTACCACGGATACATAATCTCACTAGATCACTTCCAAAGTCACTCGTATTGCCGAACACCGTTTATTTCCGTCCAGGTGAATTTTCTCCGCCACCGTAGAACTGTTCCGAGGCGCCACGGTTCCCAATTACGTCACTGGCCTTTCCAATTAACCGGTAGCCAACACGACTTTTCGTCCCTTTTCTATTCAACGTAAACGTCGTCGTACGCGATGAACAACGTCGCGAGAAATATTCACCGAGTCTCTATTAACGACAGTTTACCCATCGTACGCATCGCGTCACTTACAGGCAGGACGAGCACTAACCTCCAAAAGAACGTAATCACGGCACATACGTTCGACACGAGGCGGATTATTCGATAGACGATGCTAACACCGAGACGAGGACAAACGAACTAAAGGTAAGAAGCCGAGCGTCATGTAAACAGGCCGTATCCGTTACATAGACACCGTCAAGGGTGAGGAGCAGCGGCGGCTTGTGTTTTCGTTGTCCGTCCCTCGCGGTCTTTCTCTTACTCACATACGCAGCTACGCGACCTTCGATCGAGTCCCTTTGTCGCGAAAACGTACTTCGTTGTTAAAAATTTATTTCGCTACCGCGCTCTCTTGACTAGATTATTACTACTCTCTCTCTGTCTGATCTGTCACTATGTCTATCTTCTAACTACGCACCATCTGACTTTCTCGAGAAAATTAAATTTCGAACGAGCGTTAGGTTATTGCACACGATCGACGCGTCACCACGATATTGCACTTGTAAGCTACACTTATCTGTCGTAGTTTCGTCTGGTCAGGAAAGTTTGAGGTTATTCAGGGCGTCCCCGTGACCGGCTCCGTCCACGGTTGTTCTTCGTTCGTCACTGTCATCGCACTCTTTTATCGTCACTCGTTTACAAGCTTCTTCGTTCCATGATCACGTTCCAGGAAGAGTCAAGTATTCTACCGGCTTACCGTCGACGCGACGATCACTTCCGGAAGGACACGATTCCTCCAACGACGCCGTTGCGTCATGATACGAGCAAATGGAAACGTCTATCTTTTCTCACAGTCTCAGAATGTAAGCTAAGATCCTTGTTATCTCTTCTGTGTATCACTTTCGAGGAGATTCGAACGCCGAAATTCGCGTGGATGATGGTATCGCGACCGCCGCCATCTTAGCGTAAACGTGAAGTGGCGGGAAAACGTGCCATCGGAAAAGCGTCCAATCGTTTTTTCGCCGGCTTCCGGTCGCGATTGATCTCGATCCACCACACTTATCGTTGTTCGAGTACTATGCTGCCTTCCTGGAATACGGAGACCGTCCTTGCTCGTTTTTTTGCGGTTGACGGGTGTGGAAAAAACAGAACCGGCGGGGCCCGGAAATCGTGAACCGTGGACCGCGGACGCGGTTGCAGCACTGACGCGGGAGTCGCGATTCGAACAACCGTTCGGCCGTGCTCGGCCGACTTCGGCTAGCCTCGGCTCTGCCTCTCGCGATACACGGCCACTTGCTCGTGCTGCGTGGGTGATGGTGGGGGTAACGAGTCGGCACGAGTAGGGGAAGGGAGGCGGGCGAGTTTTCTCTCTCTCTTATTAACCCCTTCTCTTTTCTAATGCCTCCCTTCTTGTATCTCTTATTATCAAATATATTATTATTGTTTTTACTGATTATTACAAGGATTTGCGAAATTGTGTATAGAAAAATATTGCTCAACATTGAATGTACTTAGATTGGAAAAAGATTAATATTATCTATAATTTGTTACGTGATTTGATTATTTATTAAATTTTTAAAATTATTATTTCTTATTTTGAGTGAACAGATTCTGGCTAATATTATCAAAAACACCCTGGTCATAAAAATGACAGTCAACCACGAACTCAAAGTTTAATTAATTAATTATTCTTCATGCAAATTAATGAAAATACAAAGTGTAGATTTTTATAGGAAATTAGATAAATGCGTCAGAGAACATTACGACCAGAAAGCATATTTTTTCAACGAGAGTAACGAAGGGGGGACAGTGTTGAATGGAGAACGCCAGTTCAAACCCTGACCTTCAACAACTTAATTTTACGCTGGGACACCAAGGAATAGGTTGGAAAAGGTCACGAGCATCACAAGGCATCATGCAAAAAGCCGCCCCTGAAACGGTCCACGAATTCCTGGGGAATTTCTTCGTGGTAAGGGAAAAAACGGTCCCTAGGATAAAAAGTCACCCCAACGAGACGAGGGGTCGGTGAACGCGTACAAAGAAGTATCTCTTAAACCAATCTCCCCTTATTTGTCTGCTGTTTGACATTCATCAAATTATGCACAAGCAGACACCTATCCAAGCAATAACATCCTGGGATCATTCAAGACATTCGCACTCGTGATTTTCACTTCTTTAGAACATCTTTTCGCATGGTTCTTCATTGGCAAAAAGATATCTACCAGGAAGCAACATCCTCCACCCCTATGGCGTGGTCCAGAAAAGAGCTATAACCACAAATCTTATCCCCAAGGGTGGAAGCGGACCAAAACGGGGGTTGATGGTCACGGTTCCGAGGTCACTGGACTCAAACTGTTCTACTTTCTTCGACGTTCTAAACTAACGTCTTCTAGGTCAGTTCTGATGTAAATTCAATGATGTTTTGAGCTCGAAATAAAAAGGAATCTTCAAAATTTAGCGTATTTGAAAAATCGCGAGGATTGAAAGTACCTGTACGAAGGATGCAACAGACGTTACTAATGATTAACGGTTGAATCGCTGCCGCGTTTGCTAATGATTGACAGGAAGGTGGATGAAATGTTGTAACGAGTCTGAAGTGAAATATTTTGCGTGACGTTAATATCACCGGCACGCGGATTACATCATGCCTGGGTAAATTAATCTCGCGAGAAATTGCAACATAATATGCACATGATCCAAACATACCGCAGTCTGCATCGTATCCTCTCCATTTTATTGCTAAATTCAAACCCTTTGAAACCTTGATAAATCGAATTTATTAACACCCGCTCCACTCTAAATCATATAAACCACAATTAATCCTTGAAGCAGAAACAATTCATATAGAGAAAAATTACCTGAACAAAACCTGCAGAAACGCAATCGAATCGCTCGTTTGAATGGTTCCCTAGACAAAGCGTTTCAATACGAAATACATCGACCTTGGAGTTGATAAATTAAAGACAGGTGATTGAATTCGTGCAGAGAAACAGAGCATCAGCCCGAAGAAATTCAACGAAATCACCTACTTTCAACATAGGGATAGATCGACCTTGAGGGTTCTCGTTCACCCTCTGTTTACCCCGGCTTCCTGGTTTCTTTCGTCCCATGGAATGGACCTAGGAGAAGCTCGCTGGTGTTCGACCCCCGCGGTATGCTCGAAAAACAAGCTATAACCACAAATCTTATCGCCAAGCCGGGGGACGAAGTGGAAGAAAGGCGTTAGAAGGGGGTGGCCCGGGGTTAGGTTCGAAGGGGAGAGTTTGTCCCACCTTCTGAGCTACCTAACAAGTAGCCTGTAAGAAGAGCCGTTTCGCCCGGTGATTCGTGCTCGTAGAGCTGCCGGCGGCGTCGTAGCTGGCCAAAGGAAAAACTGCGACACGGTTTTTCGGCCAACGAGAGAGACTCCCTCGAAGTTCAAGGCCATCCTCGAAGAAAGGAGAGGGGCAGTTTTTTGTTTTCGCTTCTCTGGCTCAGCTACGAGAACGACCGAGAGACCGACAGACCCGGCTGCCACCACGTCTAGCCCCTCTGCCTTACACCAGACAGACCATTTTTTCGACACCTGTTCTTTTTCCCTGTGTATCGTTAACCCCGTACCACGTTTTACGACCATTACCAGCCTGGAAGCTTATTCCAGGATCTTCCGGATGGATCGGGCTCTCCTTCGAACCCGGAGCTCGATTCGAAGAATCAAAGCAGGAATCTTGAAAGGTTTCCTGGAACTTGGGGTATAAACCTTTCTTCTCTTTATTCATAAAGCTTCTGGTACACTGGCATAATTTTAAACTATACTCTGGACAAAAATTGTGGATCACACTTGGGAAATCAATAGGAGAGGGTTGCCTTAATTGGACAAATACTGAAACTTGGAAGGTTCCATCAGCTTGATTGGAAATGGTAAATTGACTTTGAATTTCAAACGCTTTAGGATCTATCCAATTAATTATTCTCAATCTTAATAATTTTTTTATCCTCCCTCGGGTACCATTTCACCATCCCCTAATAAATTCAATAAAAATCGAGAGAGATCCGACAGAGGAGACTCTGCAAGAGATTCGCATTCTTCCCACGAATTCCAGACGGAAAAAATTGGCTGGAAAGGCTAGAAAGCATCGCATCGATCGTACGTCGTGCTGGTCCAGGATAGCGGCCATCTTCCGACGCCGGTTTTCACCGACCAATCGACCGGACGAGCCGGGCGAAATTTGAAAAATCCCGGCACGAATCGTCCGAATGGTGCTCGTTGGTCGGCCATGTTGCCAGGAACGAAGGCAGAGAGGTAGGGGACAAAGGAGGCGGCCGGGCAAGTAACAAGAAATCTTGAAACAGAGCAAAAGGGTGGAGACGGAGATTAATGAGAAACGAATCTGAACGAGAGAAAGAGAGACGAGGAGAACCGGACGAGTACCAAAGATCGAAGCAGCCTTCGAACCTGATCCTCCAAAAGGACTCGCCATCTTGGAAGGGAAATAGACGACCTCCTGCCTACCATTGACTCAGGTCAGGGTTAGACTACGTTGAACTTTTCCACCCAAGGACCCTTTAACACCTTGCCTATTTCTAGAAAAAAACGGGTAAGTGCCTTTTTTTTTTTCATCTTGATAGTTATACAAAATTGCAAGGTATTAAGGTCCTTCGGATGAAGAACTAGCAAAAGAACGTTTCATTTAACGAACATTACTTTGACACGAGCGATAATTATTAATTAACATTCAGTGCGACAAAATATTCCTGAATGCATCGGGCTTGTTCGTGCCAAATAATAAAATTTACTGCAACATGATTTCAATTATTATGTTACTTTCTGTATTTATTTCGCGATGGTATCATTCGAACAGAGCACACGCACACCCACGAATTTTTTCCACATCCCCGAAGCTACGTACCGTTGATAACGCTGATTTGCAGCCCCGGTTGCTACGAGTCTCATGCATAATTAATTAAATGGATATGCAATTTCGATTGCAAGCGCTGCCGTTGAGACCGGTACACACCCCATTCCTCTCGGAGGGTTGGGTTGCTCATTTAGAAAATGAAATTGCACGAGAGGGCGTGCACCCACCCCGGGGAACATGCGCACCTCGTTACAACATCCCTCTAGGTATCTCGGAGGTTCACAGCTTCCATTCTCCTCTCCTCTCTGCCGTCAGAGGAAAATGGAGCTGAACTTTTTTGTTACCACTGTTGCTGCACTCCGACGTGCTCGCCGTTTTAAAGCTTGCCAGGGGATGAATTTTGTTTATGACCGTCCCCATTAAACCGCGCTCGCGGATATGACGTTTGGAATGAGAGAAATGAAAGTTGGAGGGGTGTACTCTTTTCTAGGTGCTAAACGATCTCGTCCGACACATTTATCATTTCCCTTTTGCGAAAGATTTCGACGATTCGACGAGCTGAAGCGTTATTCAAAAAACAAATCGTGTATCAATAATTTTCAAACTATAAAAGATTTCTAATGTTTCGTCAGTTTTATCGAAGGTCGAAAGATGCAAAGACTCAAATAGTGTTAAGTGTACCAAAATAGAATTAGAAGAATTTAAAAAAATTAAAATTGCGTCACCATCGATCAAGCGTATTAAACACCTTCCATCTCATAATGGAAGAAAGAAGAGGAAAAAAGGCAAGGAAGTCGCGTTAGGAACACGCAATTCTTCTGGAACGCGAAAAGCCGCGAGATATCGTGTTTCAGGGGGTGTCTGACGCGTTGCGATCTCGAGAGGAAAACCGTGGCGAGAAAAACGGGGCCATAGATTCGGTGCTCGTTGGAAGGATTCGTTTTTGTCGCGGTCTCGCGGTGTCGCTCGCGAGAGGATCCTTCGCAGATGGTACAAGGACCAGAGGACTCGTGATTAATTAAAACTCGTTTCCGTGGCTTTCGTGCCTCGAACTCTCCGTGCCGCGGCCAAAGAGGGGGTGGTGTTGCGACCGATAAACTTACGTCTTGGCCCACGGCAGGGTGGCCGCACCCCCTCGAAGAAGGGGTTGGTCCTTCGGAGGAAATGCTCCGTTGCAAGGTCTACCAAACGAAAAGCGGCCATGCGCACCTCACTGCCATCATGAAAACCTTTCCCCTTCTACCTACGGGGTAGAGGGAGGGTCGTTGCTACCCGTGGCAGCCGCAACTATGCAACTGCAACCCGATCCCCGGGTTTAACTGCGGCTAGTTTCGGAAACTGATGCAGATATTTGAGGATGATTAATTCTATACCGATGACGTCTATAAATGGAGCGTAAGAGTTCATG